AAAAGATCAAGATTTTGGCTTAAGGGCCTTCATTTGCCAGTAAAGAATGTGCAAGGGCAGATTACACTGTGCTGGTAGTAGATGTGTTACTATACAGCTGAGTCTGTACTTGATGTGAACCAGCAGGATTATTTCATCCCCTTCCTTTTCCTTAAGTCAGTCTCTTGATAGGAAAAGGCACTTGTAACTCTCACACCTTGAGCTGAAGCACATAAAATGTATGAGTGCAAATAGGGCCAGCAAGGATGAATTTCAGATCAACATGCTGAAAAACTTGGCACTCTTAAACCTAGGAGTTTAAGAGGAGTCTATTTTGTGAATGACTTAAGATGATTCATCACCCCATGATGACTGTCCCTGTCCCAGACACAAAAAGCAGAAATCTCTTCGTATGCATTTCTTCTGATGGAGTTTGGATGTCTGTGTTCTGCTCCTAATTTCCCACGTGAAGATTTTAAGAGACATAGAAACACCTGGACAACTCTTCTAACTTTATTACACACTGAGCAGTAACTAGAACAGTTGTATAGTTGGCTATAGCACCAATCAAGCAAAAGCAATAGCAGAAGGCATGTACATTGTTAGAGTGCTTCCACCATAAATATCTGTGAAGTGTTGTTTGATGAGAGATCACAGCTATACAATTCAAAACCTTTGCAGATTTCCTGCATAGGAATCTGAAGGCAAAAGGTGTTAGCAAACGGTCAGTGCAGATTTTCTATCAACTGCATTTAAAAAAAAAAATTAGGTTGCAATGGAAAAAAAAAACCAAAAACGTTACAAATAGAATGAAATTTCACAAAAGCATGTGAATTCTGAGTCAAGTATGCTTTAAGTACTGCAAACCCACACTCTGGGATTTAGACATGTATGGGCTTCCGGAGACCTTGTACAGCAGTTGGTGTTTTATATCACTAGAAAACATTTAAACGACAAGTGATCCAATTCTACCCTCTCTTAGACACTTACCATTTGCAATAGCAAGACTTTCGTCCCACTGGATAATAAGGTGAAGGAAAGATAAGTGCTTTACTCTAAGCAGATGTCCTTGAGCGTGGCACCTGAAATTCAATGTACTGCATCAAGTGTATATAGTAGTTAACTACAGCAAAATGTGTTGTTTTCTGGAGTGCTGGAGAAAAATTTCCATACAAACCTCATAACTTGGTACCTTGAACTTGGAAAATGACCATTTTAGGCAACAAAAACAAATAAACAAAACCCAATAGATTCTTACAGTAAGACACTCAACAAAGAGATGTGGCCTTGTGACTGTGAAGATTGGCATCCACTCTAAGCTAAAAAGAAAGCAACTCTTAAAACACTAAGCTAAGATCTAAACCATTACAAGAGGGATGCAGAGCCATTGTGCTCAACACTCACATGAAGGGTATCTGTGAACTTTGTACAAACTAGTTTCTTTGTACTTCAAGGAGCATTTTATGCAGTCCTGCTGAGCTTGGTGGAAGGTCAGTGTGACACAGACCCACTGAGAGCACGGTGTAGAGTAAAGCAGGAGAAAGAAGGAACTCTGTTTCCCAGAAGGGGGAAAAAACACTGATCAAAAACTAATTTCTGTCATCTGACACAGCCTAGGGAAACCATAGATCCAGTTAGCTTTCTGCATCTTCACTGTAATTCAACAGCTACCCAAATCACTGATTTGATTTTTTTTTTAAATTACAGTTCTGTAGTGCTGAAAAGCATATCTAGTGGATGTAAAGATAATAATTTCAAAACACTTGAAAGTATCATATGTCGAAGTATCTGAAACAAAAAATTGACACACTTTTATGTGAAATCCTGTGGTGTAGCACAGATCAAAGTTACTGAGGGTATAAATTTGTGTGAGTAGGTTTATGTGAATAGGGTATGAGAAATGAATCTTTTTGCAAAGTTCATGTTTGTATTCACTGTTTATCTGTGCCTGTATGTACAGGATGCTGGAGTATTTCTATCAATTTAAAACCTTTCTGAAAGGAGTAGTATTCCATTTGAAAGAGGCCCTTACAATCCAGTCTGTAGCAGAGTACTGTCCTTCAGAAAATGTTGTATTTCTCTTGACATTATTTTGTGTAATCCATTGTGACATAAAAGGTTGATGTCATGGTCCTATTTGTGTGGAAACATGTACACTTTGACCTCAATGCCAGTTGGCTGATAGATGAAAATTACTCAGTTGGCCAGTAATTTGTGCTTGTTCTTTCCTCCTTACTGGTAATCTCTGAAGGGAGAAAAAATGTCAGAATTTCCATTTCACAGTAAATTCAAATATTATAACATATGGTTTTGTCCCAAACTTCAGATGAAAAGAAAAAGTTCTGAAAAAAAAAAAATTTTGCTTGGAACACATGAACAAAAATGCAGTTAATGGGATGCTCTAATGTATCTGCTAGCAGTAGCACTGTGCCTCCTGAAAGAAGACATTTTAGTGATTTATCCCATCATTCTTCAGGGACTAGGTCCTTTGAAGACACTACTTCTGCTATTATGTTTATACTTGCAACTCCTGTGATGCACCAGGGCCTTGTTTATGTGTCTAGATACATCATCTCTGAGATGCTGGACCATACCTAAGGAGGTTAATATCAAACTGTTTTTAAGCTCAGTTCTACAAACCATAACATCTCTTCTCAGATCAAGCTGAACTGAAGTACCTCATCCTACTCCTTCTTTTTCTGCTGAAAACTCTGTAGCATTTCTGCAGATGCATACAACTGGGTAAAAATGTAATTTTCCATTGGAAAAAAATCATGTGGTTTATAAAAAAAAATATTCTAGCAAGCTCTAATAATGAGTAATGTCTTTGCTGCCTGTTCTACTCCTTCATATATACTCAAAATAAGTCTTGTTACTGTTATACTCTAACACTTGCTATTGCCTCCCTATATGCAGTCTTTGTTAATATCAAGGCAGTTTAACCTCCCTGTAAAGTCTGGAAAGAAAAAAGTAGACATTTACAAATTATGAAGTACTAATGGAGTTTTTGTAGTGCGTGGAACATCTCCAGGAGGTTCATATGAACTACCAGTGAAATAACATCCTCTTTGATATGGTACATCTGATCAGAACGTAGGGAGGTGTTAGATTTAGTTTTGCAGCAAAGGGTACAAGCTCTGCTGCAGGGATCAGTGGAAAGAAAGGATGCAATTGTAGATAAAGATGGTGTGGGAGGGTGTACGTGATATCAGAAGCATTCGTTCTGGAACTTACCTAAAAGAAAAGTCATTGAAATATAATGCAGTAAGTGTGGTTTTAATACAGAGAACAAAATCTCTATAAAGGAAGTGTTTCAGAAAAGACATAAAATGTAGGAAAATACTTCTGCTGATATCTCATGTAATGACTAAGAATTTTTACAATTTAGGAAGAAGGAAGTTTTAAAGTGAGATTTATCAAGTCGGTAAGAAGGGCATGTACGTGGAAGAGTGTCTGCAGAGAAGCTATCAAAGGGGAAGGAAGAAGCTACTTAAAATAAGCAAACAGGAAATGTAATTAAATGTTAGGACAGATAATGCAAGGAGAAGTAAAAGGATGGTAGATCTTGACGTTGGCAATGTGCAAGTGGTGTTCCTTGACATAGAGCTGCCTTGGACATACACAGGCTGCAGTTTCGAAGGTGTGCTCTAGAAGCACGAACACAGGAGAGGCGTTCAGCTGTTCAGGTGGGCTGACAGACACACCTTCTCAGCTGGTTTCTGTACATGTATGTGCCAGGATGAACAATCACTTCTGTGGGCATGATTATGAGGGCTGCTTTCTGAACTTTGGTTCAATAAGTCAAAAGCGTCTTCTGTAAATACACAGGAAAATCTGTGTACACTATAAAATGTGTGTGCTGGTTCTCCTTTTCTGCTCCGTTTCTGGGCTCAGCTCCTCAGTCCAGAAATGCTTTTACGTTGCTCTCTTAAACTTTGGATGGCATCTTGTTTGTGTTTACAGCTTTTGTACAAAAGCTGACTGCAGCTAGCTGTTAATTAATTTGCCAGGCACGACTTCACAAAAAGAGGGGAGCGTTCTCTTTTGTGGTCTTCCAAGGCTTTTAGATGTGAGGAGGTGTGATTAGTGTTCAGTGATTGCCAAAACTTCCACCCAAATTATGAAATACGTATCATGATTGTGAAGATCAGTGTATGTCTGTTTCAGAAGGTGTACCAGCAGAGAAATCAGCAATGTAATTAACATAATTGCACTTTTCTCAGTATGGATTTCTTTCTTTCTTTTTTTTTTTTTCTTTCGGTGCAGACAACAGGAGGAGGTTCTTCTTGCATAGAAATGTATAAAGACCAGTGTTATGAACAGAAAATGAAATTGAAAAGGAGAGAAAGTTAAGCTTCTGTGCAGAAAGTAGTAGCCAGAATGATGAAGCAGCTTCTAATATAACTTGCAAATGAAGGGTATCATTGGGACACATGAAATGTTTAGCACATGGCTGAGTATTTCAGTGCAATGAACCCAAAGGTACAGTTCAAACTCAATTTTGGATACTTAGGTTCAGCTCAGTTTACAGATTTATGAGTCACTCGATTCTTTGTAAAGAAGATAGACTCAGATCCAAAATATACAAAGCACATCTTAATTTATAGAATGATGTTCTGACTTTCAGAGTCTAAGAAAAGGAATTACCGTTCATCCAAAGTGATAGTATTTATTCACTGTGTGTTATGTTTTACATAAACTGCCATCAACAGTGGCTCTGTATTGCATCGAGGTTTCTGCAAGGAGGCAGATAAAGAGCTTATCTCCTGCCTGTATCCTAACTTCTCATCACTGTTTTCCTGCTCTATTGACTTGTCTGTCTCGGGCCTTTGATACTATATATGAAGCTTTCTTCAGCACAGGGGACAAACAAAACCCCCTTTTATTCCAGAAATATGGTGAACATCAACTGCATCAAAAAGTCCCAGATATAAAATGCTGCAGGCAGTATGCTGCATACATACACACACCATGTTCTGAGTTTACTCCTTCCTAACTATGCATTTACTTTTTTTCTTTAGGGCGTACTTCAAAACATTTGTCCCTCAGTTCCAGGAGGCAGCGTTCGCGAATGGGAAGCTCTAGGCTCCACAGCCATGGAGGTGAAACTGGACAGATCCTTCAGTCTGCACATCAGCCCACAAGAAGAATGCCTGGAAATGTGTTGGACTGTCTGATAGGTGCTTTCTTGCCTCTGAAATGGTTTTGGTAGCTTCAGTTTTTGTCAGATTTCTTAAACAAAGACCTCACTAGCACGCTTAAAATGGAATATTTGATAGTCGGCCTGTCCCTCTGCCACCACCATTCCTTTATACATCTACTGGATTAAATTTAAAAGGACATGTCTTCATATGATAACATTTTCTTGTGCCAACAATGCCCTGTATGTTATGCCTTTTTTCCTTGTCTTCAGATGGTGTAAATTGGACTCCCCCACCTCCAAAATCTGATGTAATTTGTATATTTAGTTACCATTTCCATCTTATCCTAATGTAAAGCTGCCCTATGTACCAGGAATGC